TTCTGCGGAAGGGCCAATACAAAAAAACATGCCAACGAACGCACTGACACTGAATTTGTGAAGCAAAACTCCAAAGAGCAAAAATTATTAATCTCAAATTATCTACCTTCGAAAAGAGGCTACTCTAATTCGCGCTTCTGTCCGCCGCTCTTTTCTCCAACGTCCTTCTGGTTCCCCACACTCTGTGGACTGAACAACCTGTCATTGCACAGGATTAGCGTTGGGATGCACACTGGCATGCACCTTCCACTCCAGGTGCAGGCACTCTGCAAGTAACAGCGGTCTGTTCTGAATGGCCCTAATTGGATACCCTTCTTCCAATGCAGTTCCTCTGCAACTGGTAGGGGTGTTCAACTAGGCCCAACCCCAGCGCACTTAAAATTAGTTCAATGACTGGGGGGTGGAAAAGGGGGAAAAACCGGGCAATACGCCAAGTCTCAGGGAGCAGGCGCACACTGCGTTGGCGCGGCGCCAGCCGGGCTGGGATCTTCGCTAGGTGATCAAGAAGGCTCCACCTAAGATTTAGACCAACCACAGCTGACACTCAGCTGACAGGATGGTAAAACTTTGAATGAGAGGAAGCAGGTAAGTGCAGAGATCGTCGTCGTCGGTGTTGCAGCGCTGGTGACGGAGCTCTGGAGTGCAAGCACCTGGCCATCTGCGGTTGCACGGCGGCATATCAAGGTTGCCGTCCAAGAGGCAACTGTCAACAAGGAGTTCAAGAATTCTAGAGGATGACTCCACTGTAATCCTTCGGACCTATGTCCTTGGCATCTCCCTGACTGGCCGTGGATAGCTAGCAGCTACCATCTCGAAAACACGAGGAGTGCAGGGCCCGAGATACAGGACATAGGCCCAAGGTCCTTATGCAGTCTTAGAGGAGCTGGCTGAAGGAACTCGAGCGCCGTATCGCTTTGCTGGTGCCTGTCCACTGAAGACTCCATCCCCCTTGGGGCTCACTACCATGGAGCTAGTCCACCGAAGACTCAACCAAGTCACCTCTTGCTATGCTCGCTGCGGGGCCATTCCGCGGTTGAACCAAAACCTGTCGGGGGTTGGGCATTGAATAAGGAAAATACATTAAATCAGGATGTCTATTTTTGGTACATGGCGCACTGTGCTCAGGTCCGGCGAGCTGGTTGCTCAACATTGGACCAGGCTGGATTCGCATAGCATTGCATCTCACGCCTCATCAGGGAGGCAGCTGGCTAGACAGATCGTGCACCAGGTTTTGCCCTACACAATGGCCTCCAGCTTGGACTCGGTCACCATGGCGTCGCGCCCAGCCAGCTCCACAAGGCACGTAGTCCGGGGCTCAAGCCGAGCCATCTCCATAGGAGGGATGGCAACAAGGTCTCGCCAAACTTGAAGCCCCAGCTGCCAAGCCCTCCAAGCCGCAAAGAGCTGGTTGATATTCGTTGATGGTGACCACGCCCTCAGAGCTCTCCGCCTCGACAAGGTTGTGGGCCAGCCAGAGTAGCGCTGCCGGGCAGCCTCGGCACGCCCGTCTGTGATGCAAAGCACGCCTCGCTTGGTCCAGCAGCCGATGAATGGAAACTGGAAGCCACCCCGCCTCGCGGTACAGCCCGCCGCAGTACGGCACGCGTGTGATGGGAGGCAGGCCTGGAACTGAAACACGTGCTCTGGGGGCCAAGGGGTCTCGCATACAGGGGGTCGCCTCCAACCAAGTTGCGGTAGCCAGAAGCGGCGCTTCGGTATGAACCGCAACATCAACCAATGCCTGGTCGCGGAAGCAACGGCATGCGATCGTGTCACTCGCGAGTGCACCCTTTAAAAGCCAGTTTGGCTCACAAAGGGAAATCCTTGAGCATCTTGAGCCAAACATGTTAAATGAAGCATAGCTACTGAGATGAACAATGCGCAAACCCAAGCCTTCCAGACCTGATGCATAATTAGATCTCAGCCGAGATGCTGCCCGGCACCTTAGTGACCGCTGCTTGAGGTGCGTCTGCCGCATCTGCCCAGTATGCCCATTGGACTTCAGGTGCTTGATAGGTTTTACTGACTTTCCCTTGCCCAGCTTGCTTGCGCCTGACAACTTGAGGCATTTGTGCTCCTCGAATGTCTTTGTGGTGCTTTGTGCTCTGCATGGGTCGGTTTTGCACCTCTTCCAGCTCAAAACAACTTCGTGCTTTCGCCTGCCATTCAAACAAAATGCGCCAGGCCATTTCTTCATCAAAATGGATATGTTGAGCTTTTCCTTCGCTCCAGCACTGTCTCGGATAGCCACGGCACCTCCTTTGTTTGTAGCATGCCGTGCGTGTGCAAACATTCGGTTGCATCGGAGCACATGACCATGATGCTGCAAGTGGCTACATGTGTAGTCATAGTCTTCTTTCAATGTCATGGATTCATCAAAGCGACATGGCGAAAGCTCTACCACAAAAAAATCACCTAGAATGAAGTGCTGCGTCGAAAATTCAGGAGCTCCCAAGGACAGGGCCGCATTCAAGGTTGGGAAAACACCACCGAGTTTGGGCTTTTCGTTTGATGAGCGCATCTTTGCCAGAATGAACTGAGCAGCACAAACAGGAGAGATAGTCATTGGCTTGATGCCCTTGACAGCTTCGTTGGCCTTTTTGAAACTCATCTTACCACGGAAATCTTGCTGTGCGACATTGTAGTATTCCCATTTGGAGATATCATCACTCACTTGAACACACACACAGCCTTGTCTTCTCGCTTCCTCCAAGGCTTTGTTTCTGGCTGGAGTTAACTTGCCTCCCACTTTGACCCGCAAACCAAGCTTCTCATAGTCCGAGTGACTGGCTTCATCAACATACCAGGTTGGACGTACCCCCTTCAATCGAAAATGCGCTTCCACCACCATGATGTTGTGAATGCCATCAGGGGAAGTGGCCCGACGGGCCGAGATCACAGCAAAGTGAAACTTCCTCACCGGCACAATGTTCCTGCGCTCCTTGGAAGTCAAACATGTTTCCAAGAAGTCTTTGTCGCCCTGCTCGGTAACCACCTTGCCAACGGACCTCATTATGCCGTTGAAGCCATCAACCGCCGTCAGTACCCTACCTGAGAGAACACAAGGTGCAATGCATCTTGGCCCTTCAATTGACAAAGCTCAATCTACAAACAATGCTTCGATGCAAGGCTGTGCCAGGCTCGATGCCTTCTTAAACACTACAAAAACATACTAAAACTATGTGAATTAAACAAAGCCACACAACATGAAACTGTGACAAACTATGTAACAAAGGTCTGACTACTAGTAGTGTCATGACATGAGCATCATTCAGTCTCAGCTGCCAAGAGATTCTTCGATTGCAGTCGGATATCCATGTCTGTGGTAGAAGAATTTTCCGCCTGGATTTAACCAACCAACATAGGTGCCTCCAGGTCCTGTGTTTTTGACCACCTGTGCCCAATCATCTGGCAGCCAATAAGCACGTTGCCCATCCACCAGCAAGTTCGGAGGGTACTGGTTGAAGGGCAAGCCACCTGCGTATGCAAGAGCAAACGCAAATCAGGCAGGCTGTGTCTCTTCGGACATGTGTGGAACAGCAAACTTCTAGATTAGTCGAGCGCAAAGTACGCCAGCACGCAACGACATGACTTAGAATCTAGAATGATCCCTGGAGCTATCATGAGCCATGAGCTATCCATTCTGCAACTTGTGGTGCTTGGTGCCTTGTTCATAACTCTGGTTTCCAACTCAAGGCCTTTGACTGGGGCACCATCTCTGTCTTCAGGTTCTGGCAGCGGGTCAATCCCACAGCGGGACACCACGAATCGGTATGCAGGGGAGCTTTCGATCCCCATGCTCGGCGGCTCCCAGCAAGAAGCAAATTTCTTGCCATAGCCTAGGTCAAAAAAGTAGCTAGTACAGCTCAACCTGCCTGCACAACGTGCCCGGCCTCCTGACCTGCGGAACTTCATTGTTGCACTTGCAGCCATTTTGCGTGCTACTTGCCGAGCTTTTACTACACGCCGACGCTCCTTGGCCACTTGGGAGTCTGGGGCCCTTTGCAAACCCATGGCTCAAACAAATGAAACCAGTTGCAAGTTGAGCCCGCTTGTCCTGGCAAGTTGGCACGATTCACTGACGTGTGCTTGCAAAAGCTCAACAACGAATAACATGTCTAATTCCAAAGCAGTTCTACGTCAATTCCAAATGTGCGACCCCAACTGGCACGGGGAATAGGCGCCCAGAATGCAGCACCTACTACGTTGTACGGCAGTGCCGTTGCAAGGCCAGTGGTGGTTCTTCCTTTGAGATGGATAACTTGTGTGCTCACACCCCTCCAATCCCTCCAAGCACCTTAGAATAGCTGCAAGCTCAGCAAGCTCTTTCCTTTCATGAGCACAACAGTCGAGGTTAGGGGTACGCAAACGCTTTGCACTTGAATTAATAGGAGACGAGCTCCCTTGCATTGTGGCTTTGCTCTGTCCCGTGAGGGAGGGAGCGTGCACAAAAAGCTCGCACAAAAAGCAAGCACCAAGCATCGCCAAACTCTAACCACCAGCATCACTCATTTCTACTTATCATCTATGTTACGTTTACAAGTTACTTTATGAAGTGGACCTAGATGTCACCCTCCACACGAAACAACGGGCAAAGGCCTGGTGCAAGCATCTAAGTGCAGAAAAGGGAAGATGAGGGCTGTGCCGCTACAAGACTGTTCCGAATCCAGTCTTAGCTATGGCGACGTAAGTCACATCCAACATCTAAGACGGGGATGTCTGTAGAACCAAAGGCAAAGGGCAAGAAGTGCCACAAACAAAGTGAATGGTTGGTTGTCAGTTTTCACTTTGCCGATGTCAAGCCTTAATCATCCTTAATCATCCAAAAATGGCTTTGCTACCTGGCTCTACTCTCTGAATCTCTAGCTGCTCTAGCCACTCCAGCCTCTGGCTTGCTGAGCACAAGCATATTGGGTACGTCACGTCCGCTCCAAACTTTCAATGCCGGAGTCTCGCAACCCCACACAAGGGTGGAGTCCAACATTCTATGGCCTTGCCTCTCACCCATCAAATGACAAGACCGATGCAATCCTTTTCACACTTTTCGAAACCTCGGCATTCTGTTTCACGCGGCTTCTCAAAACTCGAGCTCGAATGTTTTTTTTGGTCAAGTATGTTGATTCAAGTGATTATTTTGATGTGGATAATTACAGTAATGATAATTATTCACTGCGTTTAAACGAAACCGCGGTTGGAGGCTCTTTAAACATAAGCACTGAATTGGAACGAACAACAGGACTGTGAGAGAAACGTGCCGGATTCAACCAAAGTTGGAATAATTGGCTCTGCTGACCTGCCCCTGACATGATGCGAGGAACATCCCTCATTTCCTTCCGAAGCTTGTAGAGGTCAATGCTGCGTGCTTGGCCATGGAATTGCTTGATGCCTTGGACATTGCTGATCTTGACTGTATCTTTTGTGAAGCAGTCACCCAAAGAAATCAAAGAAGCAAAAGAATGTGCCAGCAACATGTGGTGCATCAACACATTTTTTTTTGAGAACCTTGGGTGTGCCTCATCCGCATATTGAATGCATATTGTGACACCCTGGAACTTACAAGTTGTGCACAAGAATCCGGAAAGCAATTCTATCTGCAACAACAATTCAGAATATAGAGCCGGTATTTCACACCAGAACCCGGCAACTGTTCCTCAAAGATGCCGATGGCAAACTCATCTTGGTCAATGTAGCCGCTCTCGCCGAAATCAAACAGCTGCCAAAGCTCATCAGTATTGGTTGTGTCTGTATTGATTCCTGGGAGCGGAATTCACTTTAGATGAAAACGAGCAACAAAGTCTTAGAGTAAGTTAGAATGCTTGATGCATCCAAGTTTATGAATATCAACCCTTTTTGGATTCTTTTTGGACAAGGTGCCCAGCTTGTGAAAGCAAGTGGCAATCCGATCTGAATTGTTGAGGTGGTACACAAAATCCTCTTTTGTCAAACGACCATCGTTGTCGTGGCAGATCCTCGAGAATAACTCAGCCACTTCCGAAATCCATTTCTTTCTTTCTCGTCTGGCCTCCTGGTGCCTTAGCTTGACATGAAGAATCGACACACAACGACACTATGACAATGTCTGCAAAAAGCAGCCTGAACCCAGCGGCATGTTCTCCAAATCTGCCACCTTCAAAGCTTTTGCATTGTCCACAAAAATTCCCGTGATGATGTTGAGGCAGCAGAAAATGGTGAAGAATATATATGCCGCAAAGATATACTCGATGATCCAGGTCACCGGCAGCAAGGTTACAACCGCATTGTCCCAGTCAATCCCTCCAGAGATGGCTTGATACAACGTCATCATAGTCCGTGGCAAAGAACCAAAGTACTTCATCAAGGCCTGCCAACAATAAAAATCCGTCTCTTCCAGTCAGTGACATGGGAACAAACTCTCACGCTATTGAACACCAACGCACATAACACGCGCAAGTCTCTTCTTTGCGCCTGGTCTTGACTAGTCTCCTCCAAGTAGTCGATGGACAGTTGCATAAAGAACACTCCGAACCTCAAGAAATGAAAGGTTTGGCAGCCTGCGCCCGCAACTAACAGCAAACACAAAATATCGAAGCTTTCCAAGATTGCCACCACGTGTCGCAACGTGCAGCTAGACTAGATGGGACTATTCCAGCTGAGAAACAAAAAGTTCACCAACATGATCAGCAGAAGTGCCCAGCAAAGAGATCTAGCGGAGCCAATTACTCCATTCACCATAATGCGCAATTCCGAAAAGAACCTCACCACCTTGACAACACGAAGAATACGCGCCAAGCGCAACATGCGCAACACCTTCAAGCCTGACAAGTCGACGGAGGATTCGGCTGATGCTGCGACCATCACCAAAATGACTTCTTCCACTATTGCAACGGCGACTAGTGCAGCATCCATCACATTCCAATGGATAGACTGATTGTAGAAAGAGAAGAAGCCAAGGCCTTCCACCAAAATCCGCAGAACCAACTCCAAAGCAAAAAGGAAGTTGAATGCGGTGTTCAAAATCCGAAAGATTGCCGGAGGAGCACTGCCAATGTTTTGGATGTTCCAGTTGGCTTCAGTGCCAATCAACAGAGCACACAAGAGAATCAAACTTGCACAAAACCATTCGAAGCTTGGCGCTATGACTATCGTTCTGGCCCACCGTCGCCAAGCAGGCCACGACTCGCTGGACTCATCACCCTTTGACCGGCTTTCAGTGAACTTTGCCACGATTTCCTTGACCCCAGTGACCTTTGTCTTTTCGAGTTTCCAAGGCAGCCTCATTGTGATTCTGCTTTTCACAGGTGTCAGCCTGGGTTCCTGATTGCGATCCTGACCGTTGTCGTCAGACTGCCACGACTGTCTCGCAAAACTCCCATGAGTCCGATTTTGGCTTCTGGGAGTGCCTTCAGCTTCGTCTGGACGATCTTCCTGAACACTTGCACATTTGCACACATACACACACGGGATGCCGAAGAGACGTCCCAGCCTGTGTGGATGCAACATCCTGCGCCAAAAACACTCTTGCACACTCAATATCGACACATGCACTGTGCACTACATTTTGCTCAGTCTAGAGTCTAGAGCCCTTCTAAGCTAGATGAGACATTCAGGACGGAATTGAGCATAGATCACAGTCATTGACCAAAGCAACAATTAGCAACACATCAAGCATCAAGACCTGTCACAAAACCCTCTGCCCGTCGGAAGGAAAGCCTGGCCCTTCGTGGCAAGGATTGGCATGACAGTTGCTGCAGAGTTGCTATTGCTTATTAAGTAGTTTCATACTGGGATTTGTTTGTGAGTCCAACAGTGTTGGGTGGAAGAATCTGTAGGGGAGAGCTTCCAGCAATGTGTGGAATGGGTTTGCGTTAGCTGACCTGCTCTCCCTTTGTCATCATCTCCGGATCACTGGGTGACCTTTCACAAGTCTGTGAAGTGAAGTCAAAACAGGTCAGATGATACGAGGAGAGGTGAACATGAGACTAGGCCGGCAGGGGAGAAAATGTTAATGGAGACAAGGTTTGATCGCTAGATTTGAGACACAGGGATACAAAGTCACATGATGTTGGAACCCGCCTGCATGCAAACCTGCTAAGGCAGCAGCAGAATGCATGATGTGACGTGGGCACAGCGGCCGGACCAAGGCCAAAGTGTAGGCGGCGCCTTCATCATGCTCATCTCATCTCATCTCTTGATCGGGTACGAGAAACTGACAGAAACTACCCCCGATTTAGCACAGAACACCACCCTTCGAATGGTGCCAACCATTTTGCAGCTGGGAGTGTGGCCTGCTGAGCGGAGCTTTCAGGATTTGATTATATATTCCAATTGTTATTCCACATACCTGCTTTGCGTATATACTTGAAATGGTCTAGCTACGAGAGCCGTTCCATTATTAATTTGTCTCGGTCCTCCATGCGCTGAATCTCTCCTGGCAAGATCTTGGTGCTCATTGCACCTGACAAATGCAAACCCAGGGAACTGCATGAAACTTCATCCTGGATAGAAGCACACAGCCAGCAAGATTTGTTGCATCAGCCTCCTGTGGCCCTTTCGATTAGCCTAAATACTACTACAAGCGCGGCCCCAGTACTATAGCGTCTCTGAATGGTTGTTGTAGTCATGCAGGTTGCTCGTGCTACACAGTTACGGTGTGTTGACGAACACGCGCCACCCTGCCATGCACTTGATTGGCCATGTCAAGGTCAAGGAGACTATTCTGGCTATTCCCGTTACAAAACGCTGCAAGCGCTGCTGACCCTTCCAAATCTGCAGTGGTGTTGGGGAACGCCTGCTTGTTCTTTCTATAAATAAGTGACCACTTTGATATGGAACAACGCCAGAACAAACAACATACTGCATCTAGAATCTAAAAATTGATAGTTTTATTTGGATTCCTCGTTGAGGTAAGTTCTTTACTTGGCTTGTTTGACATGGACAGTTCCATTTGATGGGGCAGAGGGTGCGGGGGCAACGACTTTCGTTCCAATCGTCTTGAGACTCCGCAATAGCTGTGTTTTCACTCTTCGTCATTCCCACAATAACTGAGCCTCTTGACGCCACGGGCCAACGGTCCCGCTACAGTTCCACAAGTGTTCCGATTTTCCTCACACCTCGTGCCGCAACCAAGCCCGGGAGTTAAAGCCACAAGCAAACAGTGGCCTTTAATTTGGGACTAAATCGAACGTTGCCGCGGTAACATGGCAAATACGAATCCAACTCAGCCAGGGCAATAGGGCAAAGCTACAGCAATACAAGTGCAGGGGTGGGAGGAAGCCAGGAAGAGAACCATCACGAATCAAATCATTGCGTGAACTGAGTGCGCCAGCTCAGCTGCAAAATGGTGTAGCACAACATTCAGCACAATGTCGTGCAATGCGATTTGCGCCTCGGGCTCGGCCATCGTGGGGTATGTGCGCCATCTCGGTGCGAACCGCGTCGGACGTGGCCTGCTGGATCCTCGGTGCTAAAGCTTTCTGCACCTTTCTAATACAACACACCTGAAGCCGGCCCGGCTGAAAGAGAAGAATGGAATATGTTACTATATTCCATTGGCTGCAATGTTATATGTCTATATATAAGTCTAAATTAAATATATCGCGATGACCGATTTTATCCCATTCCCAAGGTTCTATGTGTTTCACCTGCGGCACTCTGGGCACCACATCTGCCAGCACTGAACGGATTTGCTGGGCTCACCTAGGACCTGGCCCTATATTGGGACAATGTTTCACAGTCCCAACGTTTCACTCACAGCTCCCATTCATGGTCGCTTGAGCCTCCCCTTCTGTGTTTCTAGGTCCAACACGCGAGTAAGCTGCGCAGTTTTGGCAAACTTAGGCTGCTTGCCTCCTGCATTGTGTATCCTGAAATCTCATGTGTCAAATAAATCACACTTAGAGATTTGCGCGCAAGAGCTATTGTCAGTATTAAGGTCTCTCTTGACTTGATGAAACGGAAAGAAGCGCAAACCGCAAGGTGAAAAGTCCGTTCATTTGAAGGTGTTGTAACAAGTTGTCTTCAGCTCTGTAGACCTTTACTGCGCAACGCCGCATGAAACAGCTTGTTCAACAGCTCCACAAAGATTAATTAAAATTGCAGGTACGTCGAAAGAGCGTCCTCTTTCGATATCCCAATCTGAACCTGGAGCTTCGTTGGCTCACGCCAGGAACAGACCCGTGAGCCCCCTGCTGGTTAAAGCTGGAACGAGTGAGCCGGTATCATGAAGTGTTGCAATGCGTCAGCAACATCTAGCTACGAGAACCTTAGAAACAGGTGGTGACGCACACAGACTGGGCCGGGGACGGCGCACTCTGCATGAGGGTCCGCTGGGTAGCGAGAGAGCGACCAAAAACGGGAACTTTTCCTCTCAGGGCTTGACGACAGCTACGAAGATCATGTCCTTTTTGGACATATAAGTCCGTTAGTTGAGCAAGCGCTCGCTCAACAGCCGAGGACGGGTAGGTGTACTTGCGGATGAGATGTGCTCTGGATTGTAGACCGGATAGTCGTAGTCGGGTGGATCCAGCTGAGGCATTGTCGCGTATCTTCCATGAGGCGTCCGGTGGGATGTAGGAGATAGTCCGTTGACGTAGATCGACATCAAAGCCAAGTAGGTGCATGTCTTCCACAGGTTCTAGCTCCACTGGATTGCCGTAGAAGTCCGGGTGGATCAACGTTTGAATGGCCAGGTGTTTGAGGAAGATGCTATTGAAGGCGATGAAGCGATTGTCCACGTACCGGTAGTAGACGAAGTGGATCTCAGTGTGGTCGGTCAAGGGATGGTGAAGTTGATGCCATGAATGTTCGATGAGGGTGATGGCGGCATTGCGCAAGGCCGGCGGGAGCTGAGAGCCAATCCCGGACAATCGTGGTGATGTCGTCCGTGTACAGTGTCCGTTGTGTGGGATGTTTGCGGTGATGACGGCCAATGTGGGCAAGCTGGATTGGATCTCCGGATGTGTGTGTGTGTGTGTGTCAACCGTGATGGTCGGGGTGGTAAATGTGTGTTGCCAACGGTTGACAAGGCTTTGGACCGCTTGGATCAGGCGATCTTGGGGGACGGAATTGAAGAAGCCTACCAAATCATCGTTGACTGCGTGGAGATCCACGGACACGGGTGTGTGCTGAAGGTAGTCGTGGAAATGGTTCCAAAGTTGAGGAGTGGAAAGTTGCCCTGGTGATTGCGGTAGAAGGCGGTAGATCATAGTATTGAGGACGTTGGAGGTGACACGTAGGAGTGGGCCATAGCAGGATTTGGAGTAGGATATGATGGTGCGACCTTTGCGCCATTGCTTCTTGGCTTTCAAGTGGACAACTCCATATGGCATCTTGAACTTGGTGTTGAAGCCCCATTTGTATTTCTGGCGAAGGTGTGGGGGGAAGGTGTGTTGGATGATGGTGGAAATGGTCTGGCCTGTATCATCTGGCAATGGTTGGAAGAGTTCTGGTGAGTGCCAGCCACGGAAGTAGATGTGGGGGCAGAAGATCCGGAGGTGTTGTAGTTCATGATCGGCGTGATGAAGGACAACTTTATCGCCTAAGGCCTAAGAATTCTTGCAAGTGCTTGACGGATCTGGCGGTGAAGCGGTCCTCGTGATGTAGTTGGAGATTGTGATGTTTCCATTGGGTGGTGAGGAAAGCGTTGACGTGAAGGGACAAAGTGGTAGGGAGTCCATGATGTCGAAGCCATTTGATCAAGCTCTTGCGGACAGAGTCGAAATAGCATTGTTTGGTGGGAAAGAAAGTGCTGTTCATGTTGGCGTTCAACAAACGACGGAGGTGGACTGGAAGTTGTAAATCGGCGAGAGTCACGATCAAGTGGTCATCGTCGGGGAATTGGGACGTGGGTAGCAAGAGGGTGCGAAGATGAGCGCACCCACAGGGGAGCTGATCGATGTCTGGATAGCTGCCCAATAGTGTTTCCCATCGCCGGTGGTTGTGCAGGCGACTGCGTAGTGTGGGGTGGGCCGCTTCACGTACGCGGCACGTGGGGAGGTGGAGGGGGATGGCAAAGTGTTTGTGGTGGTTGATGAGCTGGGCGAGCCAGCGTTGGACATCGGATTGGAAACTGGGGTGGGCTAGGAAGGGAATGGTCAGGGGGAGATTACTCTTCGGTGGAGTGAGGTTGCGATACGTCAATGCTTGGTTGAGAAGGTGGAGAGCTCGGCTTCGTCCTGGTTCTTCAAGGCTGGTGGCCATACGACAGATGGCGTAGACTTCGAGATCCGTGTATTTGTCCGAACGGAGGTGGCGAGCGGCGTCGAACGACGCTCGTGTGT